CTGGGCTGATTCTTATACCCCCCCTTATTTTCTATGATGTGTATTGTATTCTGGGATAAGATTTACGCTGAAACTACAAAGCTCTCAGAGCAGAGGAGGGCTTTTGTCGGAGCCAATAGTTTGGAAGTTTTTCTGGGCGAGAGAGTCATTAGGCAGTTCGGACTCAATCGAGCTGTCCCTGCCTCCTGCTTTGGCAGAGATGAGTGGGAGGAGTGTGGAGTCAGAATCGATGATCGAAAGAGTTGTGTTAAGCAAATGGCCTGATTCCGCGGTTGACTAGTCTGATTTACAGATCCTTCTATTCTAAACCTCAACCTGCTTTTTCTTTTTTTTTGTTTTAGACTTGGATCTAGGGGCCCAACCCCATATTCCTGCTCGAAGAGATGGTCATCTGTGCTCCACAGCTACTGGTGTCATCACCCTCCAAAGAGGGGGAACCAACCAAGATGTATGTCGTCCAACCCAACCTCAGACTCTTTCTTCCCGACCTATTTGACTCTCTGGCCGCAGTTATTTAGGTGGTATCCCGAGATTGAAGAGATCGAATTACTCCCCGGAACACACGAAAGAAAGATATGAACTAGGTAAATAGAAATGGAAAAGAGATGTTTCCAATTCATCAAAATCAGAAGCTTTTTCTACATCCATATGATGTACTAAAGTAGATCGATATTGCCCATATAATAAAAGCAGATCTTGGTCCATGGAGTCCCAAGAAGGTAAGAACTCCAACCTATCCGATGCTTCTTCGGCCAAATACAATATACAAGTGGGACCTGCACTATGAGCAAGCTGTGCGAAAAACCGTTTCTTTTTTCCGGTTCCGAAACAACTTGGGCGAAATGGGGTTCTACCGGGAAACCATAGATTTTTGAGTTTTCGCCATTGGTTACTGGTCAAGCCACTGGAATGGAATAAGATAAGAATCTCTGGAGATCTTTCCTCTCCACTTACTCGATACAGGCTTTCTCTCTGTAGAAGACTTCTTCCGAATGGCATAATTGTCCGATCCTCCTCGATCTTCAAAGAAGACTGACTCCTCCTCCTTCATCGTCCTTGGTCCTAAACCCAACGCTTTTGACTCTATTCTGTGCGTACACTGCACACCAACCTAATACCACAATACAAAAATCTCTGCTTGCTTCGAAGCACTTCTATACCGCACAACTGACATACCGTCTAATCGAATCTAATCGGAACTACGATCGCACTTCACTTAAGATATTTCTGTAGTAGCGAGAATAGTCTGTAGACAGAAGAATTCCTACTAGGAAAGCAGGTCACAAGCAAGGAAAGAAAGGAACGGATAGCCATAGTATACTTTCTTAGCGAGTCAAGAATCTCGTCGGGGAAATCTTCTTTCTGCCAGCCCTGTTTCCCCAACCAAGTAACAAAGAAAGTAGAAAAAAGAAGAAGATCAGAAAGAAAAGAAAAAAAATCATCATAGACTCTGAGGTCTCAACTTCACTCCTTGGGCGGGAAAGGAATCTTCAAGTCTTCGATTTCCAGCTTCTAGCAGCTCAACTCTATTTCAAAGGTGAGCAGCGGGCGCAACTGAACCTAACCGACTAGGCGCAAGTAGCTTTCAATCGACCCTCGTGAGAGCAGCGAAAAGGCAAGCTGAGCGCCGTGTGAATAAGTATTTTATATGACCACTTACCGGAGATGCTGCTTAGTAACGGGCGTAGATCAACGTCAGATAGATCCTCGTGGGGTTACAGGGAGAGGGAAAGGGTTTCAAAAAGAAAGGAAATACCGAAAGTGCAAAAAGGTGCGAAGCGAGAAAGAATTCCTTACTTGGGGTGAGGAGTTAGACATTTAACGAAAGAAGGAAATCGCCCTTATACGACTTCTCCCACTTCTCTTATAAGGTAAGCTTAGTCATAAGGCGGATTCTTAGTTCTCCTTAGAATAAAAAGACAGAAGGAAAACCGCGCAGTAGTAAGAAGAAAAGAGCAGTAGCAGCTGCAACAGGAGCTGAGTATACAACAGCCAATGGTTCACAGCCCCAGACAGAAAGTCAGTTTCCACTCACGACCAAAGCGCTGTCGCACCTCTACCATTTTCGGCGTAACGAGGTCCTTACTCTTTCGAGTAAGCAAGCGCTACGCCCCTTTGAAACTATCTCAAATAGGGTTCTAGCAGAGACCGCTGAAACTCGTGTTTTAATGCCCGCCGTACTGCTGCATGTAGTAAGGACTTTTCGGGGTGTAATGGAATACATTGAGAGAGGCATATTCATATGTTATCCCAATAGTCACGATATTCATCGCCTCTGTTAGGAATAGCAGGCAATCTCAGATCAGGATAAGGATTCGCATGCGGACAATTCGATGAGGACGATTTCTTGCAGAAAGAGAAAAGGGATACCAGACGATTGGGGATTGATTAGATGCGGACGATGATTTGGCAGATGAGAAGGACGATTTGAGAGCGAATCCGCCATTAATTACTCTTTTGAATGAAGGTTGCTCTGCTTCCACAGCTATTGAATCAGCTGTTGGCATATCAGCTCTTGTGCACTCATAAGCTCTTGGGAGAGTCCAAAGAACTCCATTCTTTTCTTTTTACGAATAAGCTCTTTCCGCTTTTCATTCCTCATGCACTGAGAAGTAGCAAAGCTTTCCTCATGCCAGCGTTCAGTTCCTATTGAGGAAGATCTGCCATTGCTTTCAAAATGAATCTCAGATGTCGGAAAGAAAGAAGCAGATTGAATGCCCGGACTGTGGTATCGGAAAGCAAAAGCACTTTCAAGAGATCCTAGGCCGAAAGCCATTTCTCGATAGTTTAGTGAGCCCCTAGTACCTTAATCAGAGAGCTTGAACACGCTTTCTGCTTAAATAAAGATTGCCATAGAGACGACTGATACTGATACAGACAGGGGACAACTCTTTTGAAAAGAAAAGGCAACTGTGCAAGAAGAAAGAGAATTAGCAGAAATCGAAAGGGACCGCTCTGATACCTCCTAAAGCGAAATAGACACGCGCACAGGCTCTTTAAGACCTGAGTCGTGCGGCCCCAGGTGCTACACTACAATAGGCCTGGGTTCTCTCCTTGCCGAATTTCGCTTCTGATCTTTCTCTGAGTCTCTATTTTTCCTCTCAGCTATTTCCAGAAGTATACGCACAAGATCTCTGATGAACAGTGCCTCTGGAAATAAGATATTGAGAGAATTCCGTGGACATGTATTCTCCTCCGGCGTCAAATAATTTTTTTGCATTGAAAAGTCTGGCTTGTCGATTGTTCGTCCAGGGGAGGTGAAAATTGGACGGTTCATGCTGGCGAGATCGCCTATTTCTTTCCTCACATGAATCATGAATGAGGGGGGTAGAGCGGCTCTTTCTCACGACTAGGGGGTTCTAGACTAGATAGGAAAAAAGAAGCGGAGCGCTCTTCCAAAAGCCCGTTCAAACTCCTCCGTTAGAATCCCTACTGGGAACACACACGTTCTCTTGTTGAGGGTTCGGAGGAGGTATATTATGTCACTTTCGATCCGACTTCGTCACACGAAGACTCGTTCAGTGATTCTACGACTCTGTGTGATCGACTATCTTCCTGTTCGGGTCCGTCCCTATACTAAGTACTCCTGTTGCACGAAGATCAAAAACAAAAGACCGAGCAAGCCGCTCCGGGAGCCCGACCTCGCAAGCATCGTCTTTTTTTCTCTGCTCAAAAGACCGGTTGGTTGTTTCGCCTCGGGATTGGAGATTGTCCCAATCGCTCACTCATCAATCTGTTTCTTGCTTCAAGAAAACCATAAAGGCAAGCTGAAGATTGCGAAAGGTAATGGAGCCCACTCTTAGGCTCCGAAAGATCAGCAGCCGCCTGGGGCCGGTGAAGTTCCCGCAGGTTGTGGGGCCGGAGATTCTTTCTTACCGGGATGGATGCTTTCACTCAATGGGCAAGGAGCTTCATGTCACCTCCACGCTGATTCAGAAGGTGTTCGGTCTACCGCACCTGCCAGCCATATCTATTCCTCGATTATTTTGATTGAAGGTACAAGCGAGATAGGAAGGACAGGGCCAGGCCGGGAACAGCACCGCAGCGGGAACTCCCCTACCCGCCGGTCGAAGGCCATTAGTGATATGGAAAAAAGAAAACTTACGTGAATACGTTGTCTCCAACACTGCGTAGCTTCCATCACTTTGATGGGGGGTGAGCGTCGTCGAGGGGCGTTCCCCCTACTACAAGGTCTTTGGGGCTATCCCCCCACCTACTCATCATGGGGCTGAATCGGAACTTCCCCGAAGGAAATGAAATGTGGGTTCGTTCCTGAACCAAAGAGGCATTCGTCAGCGTAGGAAGGCCGACTACGCTCTCTTTGTCAAGAAAAGGGAAGGAACAAAGGTCCTTTCATCGATTCTTCAACATTATCAATAAATAGATCGACCCATAGGATAAAGGGGATGGAAGAGACACAGGAATTGAATCTTGGATTCAACTAATTTCTGGGGCTGCCCGCTGACGAATGATTGATCGTGTTGCCATAAGCATCGAAATCAATGGGATAGTAAAATGGAGGGGTAGGAAAGGTAATCTGCTGAGATGGGGATCACTTCAGGCTTTTCACGAGAGTACGAGATGCGCCCGAACTCGAGAACCTTCGCTGAGCTAGGCAAGGCCTCGCTAAGCTTGGTCGTAACTTCAGTGTGACTGGCGAGGGCTGACTAAATGACTAATTGAACCGGTTGGTCAAAGGATAAAACCCTGACTGCCGAGAAGAGACCCACCCGAAGAGGTGGGGAGGCTCCTGCCTCTTTGAATGCCTTCTTTTTGATCTCGCCGACAACTGATTGCTTTTCTTTTCTTACGGGTAGATGCCGAAGAAAGAAGACGTCCCTTACTGACGCTTACTGGTTTGATTAATATATCGCTTCGCTTGATTCGGAATCGAGCATCGTGGAAGGGAATAATAACTCAGGCAGCTACCGGGCCCCTTTTGCGCCATGTTTGAGAAAGAAAAGAGTGATTTTCTGTAGTTAGAAAGAGCTGCATCCCTTATGGTCTTATTCAAGAAAGAAAGGACGCTTAACACTATACTTGTTTTCTTCAAACGGTTCAAAAATACCTTGAAAGAAGCTCTACTCCCCGATTCTACGAAGCTGCCAGTGGGATTGGCTCGGAAGAGGTACTACCCTTGGGCTGGGGAATACTTTTTTGTTCCATATAAAGCTGCCTCGCTTTTATGACACTTAGGTTCGGCTGGGCTTGCTCAATAGCATGCTTCTGGCCGACATCCGTGGCCCTATTTGACTAATAATAATAATAAATCTCCCGGGGGAAGGAGTACCGGGGAAAGCTTTAACTATAGGTATTCAGGTATTCGCGTATTACAAGGTTGATGGATCTACTTTAGCTTATGTGAGATTCACAAAGAAAAGCAATTTTGCTTCTCTAGACCGATTTCAGATCTTACCTTTCACTCATGGGTATATCACGGCACCTCTTGCTTGGTACGAGCGTATGAACTATTCTATTAAGATAATAGAAGTCGATTCGGGATCCAGCTGAAACTGCTACTCAGAATCTTGTCTCTGAAGACGGTCATACGGAAAGACTCGACTCAACCTGATGCTACTGGAATGGAAACTCTTATTTACCGGGTGCCTTCTCCTTTTTGGGTGCTAAGACCCAAAGGGGATAAAATAGTGGCGCTTTGACTCGTGGACACGATAGTTCGGTGAGCGGTCCCGGCTAGGGCATAACAAGTGCTCTCGCTCTCCAGAGCAAACTACCGAGATTCCCAGTCATTTCCTTTCTGACTCCAGTAGTAGAGAGCTCGCATCAAGAATGGGGCACTTAACTACTTCACTCAGAAATGCTAACCCCTTTCTATTTTTTATTTAGGAAAAACTGTTGTTTCCAGGTCGAGTGACTCTAGACAGACCTAGCCCTTCTTTGGAGGAAAAGAATTTAACCTAGAAGAATTAGTCTGGACTGAAATCCCTTCACCATCCCATCAAAGAAGATGGGTATCTCCTTGGCACTAGTTGGGTTGGATTGGTTGATGTCAGAGAAGTGGAAGGTTCAGACTTGGAGAAAGAATCGAGGATAGCCTTTTCTCTCTCTCGCCGGACTGGAAGTCGAGTTCTGTCTGATCGTCCTTCCCCTTTCGATAAAGTGGCATTCTTCTCCTTCGGCGGCTTCCACTCAACTGAGCTCCCCGAAGTCGAAAACTTCCTTGGCTTCGATGGCATTGAACGAGCCAAATCCCGATAGTCAAAACTCACGTAATCGTAATAAGAAGAGCTGGTTGATCCTTACGCCCTCCTCCTTCGCTTCTTCGAAGTGGCGAACCAATCAATTCCATTCTATGCCGCTGTTCAGCCGCTTCGATTCCTCGCCTAACCCATAACCCGACCTAGCCACAGGAATGAAAGATGTCTTTCCCATAAGGCAGCTTGAAGCAGGTCGGCTCCTTTCTTCTCGTCTACCATGACTGCTAGTCAAAGCTCCGAGAACGGGCAACCCCGTGTTGAGTTCCCTTCTTGCCCTCATCTCCTTTGATCCCGGACTCCATGAGAAAAGGGTAGAACTCATGCTTTGAGTTTGCTGACTTGATTGATCAAGTCTGTCCTGTCTTCTTTCTTGCTTGATTGCTGTCTTCTCTTCTGGCTACTCCATGCGGCTAGAATGCGGCTAGTAGTCCTAGTCGCCTTGCTTTGAGGAGTCTTAGACAGCTCATCTTCTCCCATTCCGTGCCTGGTTATGTCAAACTATCTTCAATCTCTTTCCCCTATCGGAGTTGGAGATAGGTACACGCGTAATAAAAGAAAGCTTTGACAGATCCAACAAAGACCTGGGAATTAGATCCTGGTACTTTTCTCCCTCTCCTTCGTCGGGCTTGGTCGTTTAACTCCCGTCTCGCTTTCCTTCCCACTCACAGGATATCTAAGGTCTATTTCGCCGATAAGACAGATCCATCGATCACGTTAAGTGCACAGAGCTAGACCCCTCTCGGGTTGGTCGCTTTTCGATGAAGCCTGCACCTACTGGGAAAAAGGAAAAATAGACCTTGAATACTATGATAGAATTGGTTGTTACAGATGTTTGAGAATCAGCTGAAACAGGATTTTGATGTCACTTAGGAAAGGAAATTGAATTTATGCCAGTTAATCCAATAGTATGTATAAGAAGAGGCATATGCCAGACCAGAAGAGGTTTCACATTCATCTCTAGTAAGAAAGCAGAAAACTAGTAAAGTAAAGGCACTCGATTAGCCGGGCGCTAAGACCCTGCTTGCTTGACCGCTAGCCATTAAGTGCTTGGCCCTGGGCATTATTGATTAAGTGAGAGAGGACTCCCACTTTCGCTCTCCCATCAATGTGACTAAATTCATCTCCGTTTGCTATTATGGCTTGGATGAAATTCTTTTAAACCTTCAAAATTTCGTCGACTATTAGAGCTGCTGCAATCCAAACCTCAAGGCTAAGAGCTTATTCGAGAACAGCTTACTCTGATTCAATTGCAAAGATCACATTCCTACTGTCAAGCTAAAGGCGAAAGAAGTGGCTTAGCTTAAAAGCTCCTCTTCATAGACACATGGGCAATCCAAGGATTTAGGTTCAACTCAATCTCCCCTTCGAACTCGGCTTCGTTCCTCTCTTCTTGCTATCTATCGTCTATTGCTCTAGTTCAGATGGCCTTCCTTCTCTTGCTGCTGCTCCACATAAGGCTCTCACCAAGTAAGCAAGACTAGCTGGCTGGGTGAAGATATGAGTCCTCGAACTCGCTGGCAGAGCTATGGCTCTAGACTCAAACTCAAATTGAGTAGGCAACTCATGTTCCACTGAGTGGAAGGCTTACAACTGTATGAGCTTATGACTAGCTTTGAGGACTGGCAGAAAAAATAAATTCTCTTTTTTGCTATTCGATGGGAAAAGACTGATTTTGAGTAGGCAAAGACTGGACTGGCTAGCCTAATAGGTAAGGGATGAAATAAGAATTTATTGCTTGAACTATAGGAACCCTAGAACATAACCGGCTATAAAAAGGTCTCTCTCCCGCCGATCTATCCCGCTCCTTGCTCAAAGGGACCTAAAAAAAGGTTTGACCTTAAACTTTTACTTTCACTGGTAAGGAGGAGACTTCTCCTGCTACTGTCCATAGAGTAACTTGTACTACGGCTAGAAAGTACTGCTACAAGGGCTGGCTGGATGGACGAGAAAAAGGGAGGTTGCATTAGAGCTCCTGGGGCTGGTGAAGACTTTCTCACTAGGGACAGATACTACTTTCAAAATCACAGGCTGGAGGTTACCTTTTTTCTGCAAATGGATTGGCTTTTAGGACAGAGTAGGATGTCAATTAAGGATCATCAGCTGGCCGAAAGAAGCAAGCCATAAAGAAAATAGTATTACTATAAATAAAAAGCCTATTCCTATTCTAGCAATCCTACAAACTATTAATCGAAGTACTTAGCACTCACCGCTACAATTGGCACTGCATCTATCCTAATGAATTTTGAGCTTGTTCCTTAGCCCTATTCTTTAGCACTGGCTTACTCACAGGAAGCTGGCCTAGCAGATGACTCTTAGTTAGACTGGTACTAGTTAGGATCTCACATAAGGGGAATTCCATTCTAGGAGTTCTCCAAAGCCCTATTATAGTATCGTATCTAAGCCCTATCACATATAAAAGAGAAAAGCTACTAGCCTATTTACTACCCGACTTCTTTTCTTAAACATTGGCATCTTATTCATCGGAAAGAGTGTGGGATGCTTTTTTCATAGAATTCCTATTTATGGAGGATTTGATTACGCCTTTATTCGAGTCCTTTATTCAGGTTCGTAATGCGTCGAAAGAAGCTCCGATAGCCTCTTCTCGTACTCAACCGCTGGGTTTTTTGGTTCCCGCCCGCACCATCCGTCCCCGAAGGTGAGTAACTCGCCGAGCGAGAAGAAAGCCTATCCATGCCATTTTTAAGATTAGCTTCATCCCCGTCCAATCCGAAACTGGATAGCTAGATCGAGCTGACCTACCTTCTTCCAGTTTTGATCGTAGGAGAAGAAGTCGGAAATCAGACTGATAAGCCACGCCTAGTTTCTTAGAATTCCTATTCAAGGTAACCGCCAATTCGCCGATCAGAGACAGGAAATGATGCTTACAGATTCTTGGTAATAACCGCCAATAATGCGACTATAACAGCTGATATGCGACAGCGGATTTGCTACAACTCATCTGCGAAAACTAATATCATATATAATCACAGAAAACTCATATTCGCTGTTCTACGCCGATCGGAGTTCTCTATACCGATAGTGGTCTTCATTGCGTACTAGCTTCAGTGGGAATAAGAAATTGTTCCGTTAGTGTTCTCAGCGACCTTGCTTGGTCAACAATTTTGAGAGTTTGCTTTTACACGGAAACGAAGACTTTCGAGAACAAATATCGAAACGGGAAGAAAAAGGGGGAAAAAGTCAAGAAAAAGCGCATATGGCACGAAAAAGTATGGAAAAACATCTTGTAATGTATTTCACCAGAAAATCCATTATGCTCCTGCGGAAGTATCTACTCGTTACGGAATCTTTAGGTGTCAAAGTGTGGATTTCTTTTAGTAAACAAAAAGGGAATGAAAAACATCTCTTTACGATCGCTCCGATTCCATTTTTACTTGTTTTTTTCAGGGGTCAATGGTTTCTTCTTTTTTAGATTTCCGCAACGACTCCCCAAAAATATACAAATTGATTTAGAAGTGGTCGTAACCCTACTATTACTATGGCTGTTCTTTTTGATTTCTCGTTCTCGCCTTCTCTACGCATATCATACTGCATGTACGCAGGCCCTCCAAAAGCCGAAACCGAACCGAAAACCGAAACTCGAAACCGAGCAGTGTAATCAAGGCTTTCTTTTTGATTTGATGATTCCTGGTTCAGCTCGTTCAGATAGAGGCGAACGAATACACATAATTTGATAGCTAGAGCTCCCCTTCCCCAGTTATTGGTATCTCTTAAATCAATCCCAGACTAAATGATAGCAAGTCAATTAAGCCATTGCGCTCCATGAATGTGAAGTGTATTCTCACGACCTTGGTTGTTGTAACTTAAGATGTCCTAGTCAATAGGACGGATAAGGACAGGATCCTCAATATGGATCGGAGAGATCACACTCACTGCCCCCGGGAAAGAGGGTTGTCGCCTCCCTAAAGTGGGCTTTGCTACGTAAGCTTTTTGGCTTGAATGACCGATATACTCTCTTCGATAAGAATGAGAGGAATTGGCCTCAACGATTAGTCTCGTAAAATATCTTGGGTAGTGAACAGCTGCTTCGAGCATTTCTTACTTTTTCACTGATGCAAAGCGCAGCCTTGCTTTCTCCAGAATAAGACTCGGCTATACAAAAAAGTCCCCTTTCCTCTCTCAGGTGATGTGCCGAGCAGAGTTTAGGCAACCGAGACAAAACTTTCTCCCTTCGCTAACTCTTTATCTTCTCAATTACAGAGCATTCTGCTTCCTGATAAATTCTTTTCTTCGTTCGAGCAAGGCTTGTCTAGCCTGTGCGGAGCAAGCCGGAACTGGCTTCGTGACTGCTGGGACAGTAGCCTCAGTAAAGAAGAGACGTACGTTTTCGTTTTCACTCCTATTTACCTTGGTTATCATAGGACAGAATCTATGACTGACCCTTATACCAGCTGTAATCGAAGAAGACGTCTACCTGCATATCCATGGTATCAGTTGCTAGCTTGAGTAAGGATCTTACCATGAAAGCGGAGCAGGAAAAGTTTGGTCTCACTTTGGCTCGGTGAACATGTAGTACCGCAAGTTCATTCCTACTATGTAAGGCATAGCGCTATCCTATGTTTTTTATCTAAAAGTGCCATTCGGTTAGAAATGCTATCTTGCCCACCCTCAGTAGACTTTCGAACTGTCTCAAGGCCCCTACGATTATCCCATCTCTAAGAATCTCAGGACTTGTGAAGAGCTGACTGACTCCAGCGCTGAACTAACGAATCTCTTCATGTTCTCGAAAGTGGAGTGAACTATCTTTTCGAGCCGGAAACGGGATTCACAATCGCTAGAGTGCGATGGTTCGTTCGAGCGAGTGTATAGGCAGCGCTCAATTACGGAGAAATTGGATCTTTTTTGAGTAAGTAGTCGACTTAGACTAGGATATTGGATGGAAGTGGAGTAGTGACGAGACCCGCATGCTCTTTTGATGCCTTCCTCTCCTCTTCACGACAGATGGGATTCCCTATACTAAGCTCTCCTCTAGGAGGTCAATAGGAGCCCTCATTCAAACCCGAATCGCCGAGAGATATATCCTACTTCCTCCATGGCATAGCTCAGTCATTCAATCATGGTAGGGTCAGTCAGACAGGATTCTTCTCCTAAGCGCAGATGTAGCTCCCCATGGTGTGTTTATTCTAGCTCTGATTAGTTCCTCTTTCGAGGCTCCAACCATTTTCGGATCTCCTTAATTTCGAGCTTGGCGCTAGTCCCTTCAAAGGTGCCAGTGGGGATCTTTTCGGCCACTTCAAAAAATTCCTTGTAAACTTGTTTAGCCATCTCCTGTTTGAAGTGCTCCTTGAAAGGCTTTCTTGGTGTGCTCTCGGACCTACCGACCACCCTGATGCCTTCATTCCCATTTATGATCACTGGTAACGGCTCCCTTCGCCGCTCCTCTATTAGATCATATTCTAATTCCCGCACCCTTAGGGTCAATTTCTGCTCCTTAAGCTTGGTTTTCACAAATTCACCCGCAAGTGGCGTCACGAGTTGGATTCGAACCAACACCTCTGAGAAGCCTGATATTATATGCTCCCAGCGAACTACCTTTTCTTTTCTTTGATTCGAATCGCAACTTTGGTAACCCGGTTCGTCGCGCGACATAGAAAGAAAGACTAAGCGACTACATCCGGGGGATTTCTCATCTATCTTTTTTTCACTCACTTCTTTTTCGGCCAATTCTACCTTGCGAACTTGTTGATCATATAACTGAGAGGGAACGTGTCACATTAGAGGTGAACGATCAGAGATGTCCTATAATCACCACGATGAGGCTGGTCCCTCTTTTAGTAGACTCAGCTATGAATATGAATGAAGAAATGAATGCCGGCTCTTTCTGCTAACCCCAAGAAGTTTCTTAATGCTGATACTTTCTGTTTCGTCGAGCCCCATGTGGTCCTCCTTTGATTGTGGGTTCAATTGGATAAATCCGTCAAGTCAAGGTCAACGTACGTAGCAGCAAGGATGGTGCATCGCCTATTTCTCGTTCTCGCTCGGGAGCCAAAACGAACACGCCTGATACCTACTGTACTGGACCTTCGACCAGGCATTCTACCCTTGTCGAATCGGAACCAACCACCACTGCATTACGCTCGAACAGTTGAGCGGCCGCCGGCCGGCAACTTCCGTACACAGATATAGATTCATTCTTCGTACCTGATCCAACCTCACAACCCTTCGCGGGTTGGTCAGGAGTCAGTCTTGTTTGGTAAGACGGAATTGGACAAAGAAAAGAGAGTGCTCGACCGGAACAACGGCCAACAAAACAAAGACCGTAATTACATAGATAACCGCTCCTCCCCTTCTCCGTCTTTAATTTAAGGCGAACCGTATGGCGGCGAAAGACGACCTCACCTTCTCGTAGATGGTGTCAGTGAGAGCAACTTGAGTATCCCCCGTTGACCTTCTTTTGTAGATAGAATCCTCAATGAGTGGAAACAAGCAACCTTTCTTATCTTAGTAAGGTGCTTGTTGAGTAAGGCCGGCTTTAGAGCCCAAGCCCCTTATGATGAGAAGAAGAGGGGCCGCCCTCCGCACCAATCCTTATTTACTACTACATCTTTTTTAGGGTGTATAGCTCAGTTGGTAGAGCATTGGGCTTTTAACCTAATGGTCGCAGGTTCAAGTCCTGTTATACCCAACCCTACCTTACACTATACTACTACTGGATATCGATCTAAGATCAAACTTTCTTTTTGAAGTGGAACAAAGGATTGTGTGACAGATTGGCTTGGGATAAAGAGAAATTGCATGTACAATTTCTCTTATGTGAGCACTCTTCGTAAAGAGAGGCCTTTGCGGATTGAGGGATAGAGTTCTGGGAAAGGAAAGCAGTCATATCCACTGTGATAAGAAAGCATTTTGACTCCCTTCTGGCGGAAAGCCCTTTCCAGATGGAAGTCCATGGAACGTTCAGAATGTGGCTCGACTAAAAGGTTTACGGAGATGCGTACCCTTTAGGTAGGGGGATTTCTTTCTCTCCTCTTTAGAAAGATAGCTGCCAGACGAAGACAGAAGCAATAGCCTTCGATGTCACATCTGGAGAGCCATAGAAAGAAAATCACACTCGCTCTCTCTAGACCCAACCAAAGCCCTTCACTAAACTCAAAATAGCGTATATTAGAAAGCATCTCATGAGTTGAAAGACTCGTTACAACTTGTGCTTTTGTCAAGGGCAAGGGAAGAACCCGGCTCAAAGAACTCTCTTGAGGAAGTGACTTCGCTCACTGAAGACCAAGCAGCCATTCTGGATTAAAGGACACAAGCCTGCTATTCACTCGCTTTCAAGTTTCAAGTCGGATCTTGCCGGGTTTCACTCCTACATTAAAGAAAGAGAAGGGGGAAGGGCTTTCTTCAGTATTGATTGCAGAAGGGAGCTTACTCCGCTTAGAGAGACTGGAGGGAAAGTCCTCGCCCTAGATTCTGGGAGTAAAAAAGCATCCTACAATAGACGATAGATAGCAAGAAGAGAGGAACGAAGCCGAGTTCGAAGGGGAGATTGAGTTGAACCTAAATCCTTGGATTGCCCATGTGTCTATGAAGAGGAGCTTTTAAGCTAAGCCACTTCTTTCGCCTTTAGCTTGACAGTAGGAATGTGATCTTTGCAATTGAATCAGAGTAAGCTGTTCTCGAATAAGCTCTTAGCCTTGAGGTTTGGATTGCAGCAGCTCTAATAGTCGACGAAATTTTGAAGGTTTAAAAGAATTTCATCCAAGCCATAATAGCAAACGGAGATGAATTTAGTCACATTGATGGGAGAGCGAAAGTGGGAGTCCTCTCTCACTTAATCAATAATGCCCAGGGCCAAGCACTTAATGGCTAGCGGTCAAGCAAGCAGGGTCTTAGCGCCCGGCTAATCGAGTGCCTTTACTTTACTAGTTTTCTGCTTTCTTACTAGAGATGAATGTGAAACCTCTTCTGGTCTGGCATATGCCTCTTCTTATACATACTATTGGATTAACTGGCATAAATTCAATTTCCTTTCCTAAGTGACATCAAAATCCTGTTTCAGCTGATTCTCAAACATCTGTAACAACCAATTCTATCATAGTATTCAAGGTCTATTTTTCCTTTTTCCCAGTAGGTGCAGGCTTCATCGAAAAGCGACCAACCCGAGAGGGGTCTAGCTCTGTGCACTTAACGTGATCGATGGATCTGTCTTATCGGCGAAATAGACCTTAGATATCCTGTGAGTGGGAAGGAAAGCGAGACGGGAGTTAAACGACCAAGCCCGACGAAGGAGAGGGAGAAAAGTACCAGGATCTAATTCCCAGGTCTTTGTTGGATCTGTCAAAGCTTTCTTTTATTACGCGTGTACCTATCTCCAACTCCGATAGGGGAAAGAGATTGAAGATAGTTTGACATAACCAGGCACGGAATGGGAGAAGATGAGCTGTCTAAGACTCCTCAAAGCAAGGCGACTAGGACTACTAGCCGCATTCTAGCCGCATGGAGTAGCCAGAAGAGAAGACAGCAATCAAGCAAGAAAGAAGACAGGACAGACTTGATCAATCAAGTCAGCAAACTCAAAGCATGAGTTCTACCCTTTTCTCATGGAGTCCGGGATCAAAGGAGATGAGGGCAAGAAGGGAACTCAACACGGGGTTACCCGTTCTCAGAGCTTTGACTAGCAGTCATGGTAGACGAGAAGAAAGGAACTGACCTACTTCAACTGCACTGTGGGAAAGACATACTTTATTCCTGTGGCCAGGTCGGGTTACGGGTTAGGCAAGGAATCAGAGCGGCTGAACGAAAACCGGCATAGAATGGAATTGATTGGTTCGCCACTTCTGAAGAAGCGAAGGAGGAGGGCGCAAGGATCAACCAGCTCTTCTTATTACGATTACGTGAGTTTTGACTATCGGGATTTGGCTCATTCAATGCCATCAACCAAGGAAGTTTTTTCGACTTCAGGGAGCTCAGTTGAGTGGAAGCCGCCAAAGGAGAAGAATGCCACTTTATCGAAAGGGGAAGGACGGTCAGACAGAACTCGACTTCCAGTCCAGCAGAGAGAGAAAAGGCTATCCTCGATTCTTTCTCCAAGTCTGAACCTTCCACTTCTCTGACATCAACCAATCCAACCCAACTAGTGCCAAGGAGATACCCATCTTCTTTGATGGGATGGTGAAGGGATTTCAGTCCAGACTAATTCTTCTAGGTTAAATTCTTTTCCTCCAAAGAAGGGCTAGGTCTGTCTAGAGTCACTCGACCTGGAAACAACAGTTTTTCCTAAATAAAAAATAGAAAGGGGTTAGCATTTCTGAGTGAAGTAGTTAAGTGCCCCATTCTTGATGCGAGCTCTCTACTACTGGAGTCAGAAAGGAAATGACTGGGAATCTCGGTAGTTTGCTCTGGAGAGCGAGAGCACTTGTTATGCCCTAGCCGGGACCGCTCACCGAACTATCGTGTCCACGAGTCAAAGCGCCACTATTTTATCCCCTTTGGGTCTTAGCACCCAAAAAGGAGAAGGCACCCGGTAAATAAGAGTTTCCATTCCAGTAGCATCAGGTTGAGTCGAGTCTTTCCGTATGACCGTCTTCAGAGACAAGATTCTGAGTAGCAGTTTCAGCTGGATCCCGAATCGACTTCTATTATCTTAATAGAATAGTTCATACGCTCGTACCAAGCAAGAGGTGCCGTGATATACCCATGAGTGAAAGGTAAGATCTGAAATCGGTCTAGAGAAGCAAAATTGCTTTTCTTTGTGAATCTCACATAAGCTAAAGTAGATCCATCAACCTTGTAATACGCGAATACCTGAATACCTATAGTTAAAGCTTTCCCCGGTACTCCTTCCCCCGGGAGATTTATTATTATTATTAGTCAAATAGGGCCACGGATGTCGGCCAGAAGCATGCTATTGAGCAAGCCCAGCCGAACCTAAGTGTCATAAAAGCGAGGCAGCTTTATATGGAACAAAAAGTATTCCCAACCGGGCAGTACCTCTTCCAGAGCCCGCTACTATGGAAGTGGGAATCCTCCTTCTCAAGGCCGAAAGAAGTAGAGGGGAGCTCCTTTGTAATGTAATGAAGGTTTGGTGTTCAGTCCGCCATTCCAAGGTAAATGCCTTTAATTCAAGTTAGCGTGGTAACGAGACGGTGAGTGAAAGCTAATCGGTTAACGAGACTGAGGAAGATGCCTAGCTAGTTTTGAACCAGAGCAGGGAAGTGAAATAGCTAAATCGGAAGCCCTCGATTAGCAAAGAGCTCCCCCAACGAGCTCTCTCCGTTCTATCCAGACTCTTTGCTAAGGTTCAAAGGCCAGTTTGAAGAAGGTCCAATGTCCAGACATGCGAAGTCAGTGAAACTTAAGTTCCAATTATAGAGGTGCCTATAAGGAAGTGGAAATAAATAGGATAACCTGATTCCAGCCGTAGTTTATTGGCTTAAAGGTCGGTGAAACTTTCCCTGTAACTAAAGTCAAGCCAGTAGTTAGCGTTCTAGTTCTATTTTTGTAGACCGGATGGGACCTAACAAACTCTCTACGTTCGTACCTGCAGCTAACAAGTCAGAAGTGTCCCTTGAGTCCGAGTTAGCTGCTCTAGTTCTAGTTCAAGACAGGAAAGTATGGGACCGCTTGCTTATGGCTTTGGAAGCGAGCAACACGTAGGTGTCACTGTTTAGTAATATGGTTGGTGACTCACTGGGCTTAGTTCTGGTGATCCCAGTAAATAAAGATGCTAGACGTGCAGGAGAAATTGATCAGATCGCCTTTGAAATCGATCTTTTCCATAGTGGTCTGAGGGGTTTGTTCCTCTTCGGGCATGCTACATCGGATCGTCTCTTCCTTTCTTTTCTTTTTCTTCACTTTCGTCATTAGAGTGAATCGGTTTATGAGAATTTAATGCTTAATTCGGGTAGAAGTCTTCCAGGTGAGTGTCAGCGAAGAGTGGGAAGGTGGTAATGAAATTGGCTCCAATGCCAATAAGAAAGCTGCCACTAATAAGTTAAGTGAAGTGCATCAGAAAGGCTTGGTTGGCCAATAGAAGCTGTTCAAGGCATAACTATAGTTATTCGCCGATAGGTGAAAGGAGTATGGAAGTTAGGAAGAGAGGGTTGGACGAGTGAAACTTTTTTTGTAAGAGTGAACCTCTCCAAGATGACGGTCGAACCCTGGAAGCCCTTGGCGACAAGCCTGGCCTTGTATCTCTCAATCTTGCCTTTGGAGTCCCTCTTGGTCTTATCAATTTACACCCTAAGGGCTCCGCTCCTTCAGGCCTTTGAAACTAGGTCAGGTCAAATAGAGCTTTATTATAATATAGGTTAAAAAAACCTCTCCCTCGCTAGCCTCCTTCGCCGTGCTGCCATCCATCCACTCGACTATCCCGCTCGCACACTCGACTAGACATGGGACAACTCGCCTGCTCGCCTATGAATGATGCTCTACCTCACTCGACTTGCACTGCGCATCTCGTCCTGCACCCCCGAAATCTGCAGACGGAGCAAGAGTATGTCGAAGACCAGATCGTTCTGCTTTCCCCGTAGCACTTGATCATCATCCACGGCCATACCTACTCTTCTGGCCTTCCACTTGATCTGCCGGTAGTTACTGAGATGTTTCAGCTAGGTAGCCCGGCGGGAGAAGTACTGCTCCTGGTAACTTTCGTCACTGACCGGGGGAAAGAGGCTTTCCATTATGATCGACGTGTTCAAATTCTATTGTGAAGGGGGAAAGAGTGGTATGACCGATATTCGACCCAAGGTCTTTTATAGTGATATCTATCGTTTTCTTTTCGCACATAAGATGGAGGCAAACAACTGTTTATTCCCAACGACCGGCTTCATTCTTTGAATTTGTATCCTCATACAGTCAATTGGAACTGCTTTGGAACAAGCTCATGAGCTACGTCACTACTCACTAGTTGCCCACCCGTAATGGGATTTCCACTTAACTAGAAGAAGAGCTTTACAGAGCCCCGAACTAGTATAAAGAAAGCATCTTCGGTGTAGTTAAGCAACTCAGGTGTCATCCTGAGCGATGGAGAGCATATCCGTCTTGCCGCGCAACCTATTTCGGATGTGCAGA